CATAGAGGTGCGAGGTGCCAGGGTAACGCTTCTGGGGTGCCGGGCGCATTATACTTTCGCCGGAGAAGGGGGGGGGTCTTAATTGCTTGATGCGGTAAACAGACAGGTGCGCCCCAAAGAGATGGCATATGCTTTTCCGCTCCGGATTTCCGGGATCGGCCCACGGTGTGAAGCCGTTGCCCGGTTTCATGTTCCTCTTCTCGTTCGCGTTGGTCCCTGTGTTGCAGCGGCTCACGATCGGCCTTGAAGGGGCTATCCATCTCCCTTTCGCTCTCCCTTCTCCCTGTCCCTCTCGTCTTTCTTGCCCTCCCCCCGTCACCTTCCTCCGCGCCCTCTTGTCTCCCTCTTGTCTCCCCTCCCCTTCCTCTCCCCGTGCTTTCCCCTCTCCTCCCCCCTTCGTGAGGAGAAGGAGGAGCAGGAGGAGGACGCGGGGAAGTCAGGGGAGAGGGAGGAGGAGAAGGAGGAGGAGGAGGAGGAGGAGGAGGAGGAGGAAGAGGAGGAGGAGGAGGAGGAGGAGCAGCAGCAGCAGCAGCAGAACGAGGGGGAGAAGGATGAAGGGGAGGACGACGACGCCGACGAGAAAGACGAAGAGGGCGCGGCACTCACCACACCGCGGTGCCCGCGCGCCCGCGCAGCACGCCCGAGCTCGCAGAGGGGGACCCGGGCGAGCCCACGAGCGCCCCCCAGGACAGCCCAAAGAGGGCGCCGGGAGGTGCCCCCAGAGGTGGCGGGGCCGGCGGGTGGTGATGGACTTGTGGGGCACCACCCCGACCGGGGACTTGCTGATGGTGCAGTGCGACGGCCTGACCCAGTTCAGCGGCATGAGCGAGGTGACCGACGAGGATGGGCCGATGCCTTCTCCATGCTTGCCTCTCCCTCGTCCTCCTCCCTTTCCTCATCCTGCTTCTGCCAAGCCGCAGCGTGAGTAGCTGGCGGTGCGTCGCTAGCAGCGGCAGCACGGCTTGCCGAAGTGGTCGATTCCAAAGGCGACATCGACTACTCGAGTGGCGGATGGGAGCGCCCTAGCGACAGAAATGAGGGCGTGAGCTGTGCACCGTGGCTCTCGGGCCGCGGTGAGCGCGCTACTTTGGGGCACAGAAGTCAAAGTCGTGAGCGGCCAACACAACTACGGTCGGGAACGTTGGCTCAGCTTGTCGCTCGGCCGGTTCTGGCTCACCGCGTCTCGGCGCGACAAGTTATCCAGTTCGCGGTCCCCAGGCGGGCATGTGCCAAGCTTTTCCCAGACTCCCACACAGCGAAGCGGAGCGACACGCTATCCGTTTGCAAGGCAGAGCGTTTCGCCTAGGCCGCCGCCGCAACACGTCAAGTAAAGTTCCTGACCGTCTGTGGGCGCCAAGCACGCGGCTACTATGTGTGTGCACGTCTAGTGTACATTTGCACCTGCATCTTCAGACCAACATGTTCCCAAGGGAGCCTAAGCTCAGAGGCGATTGATTGTTGGGCCGTGAGCATGTTGTCCGATGATTCTTGGCACAGCAGGTGCACACGTCAAGGCGTCAGTGGCTCCTCGGTTTTGAAACTGGCACGGATATGTCAAAGGACCCCATCCTTGAAACCCTCGCCTAGGACATACTGGGGCAATTCATACGCCCATCGCCGTCACCTTGGAGATGGTTCCAGCTGCCGCTGCCAGCTCCAGCACCACCTCAAGATCCGTCTCGACCTCCAGCTCTGGTTCCCGCTGCCAGCTTCAGGTTTAGCTCCGGCTTATAACCGCCAGCTCACCCTTAATTTGCCAGGTTGGCTCAAGGAGGCAACCTGGATCCCCGTGACTTCCAATGATTTCCTTCATGTCATCTTGCTACGTGTAAGATAGTGTTCCACTTGTCTCGACATCGCCCATGACCATGCTCAGCCCGTTTGCGACATGCGTGCACGTTTCCATGCTGGCGTACGCTCGGTCTGCCGCTCTCCGGTATGATATCGAGGCGGGCGCGAACCCGCGGATGTGGGCGAGCACGCCTGGGGGCAAGAGCGGCATTCGCAAGATAATCCATCAGACTTGGAAGACTGATCAGCTGCCAGGTCGTCTCAAGAATTGGAGTGAATCGTGGAAAACGTGTTTACCTGGGTGGGAGCACCGGCTCTACACGGACAGCGACACCAGAGATTACATAGCCACACGTTTTCCTGCGTTCTTGGCAACGTACGACGCGTACGATCGCCCAATTAAACGTGTCGATGCGTTCCGGTACGCAGTTCTTGCAAAGGAAGGTGGTCTTTATGTGGATTTGGACATCGAGTGCCTGAGAGACCCATCATCAATATTTGATTCAATGGAAGGCATGACTGATTTATTAGTGTGTGAAGGCTGCAATCAGATATCCAACGCAATTATGGCAAGCACAGGACCGAGCCAATTCTTCAGCAAAGTAGTCTCGCTGTTGCAAGATCCTCGCGTTAGCCCGCATCACAAAGGGGACGTCCTGTATACTACCGGCCCGAGATTTTTAACAAAAGCTGCGGATTGGGCAACATCCCTGCACACACAATATTGGAACCAGAATGGAACAACGAGAACTTGGACATGGAAAAACACCAAAAATAAGAAATCTGGTTGGTTCCAAGGGATGCTGGCGGATGACGAATTGTTTTTAGCCATGAGGTACAGCAATGGACATGACAAGTCAATATGCATGGATCGGCAACAATGCCTAGAGCGATTTCCCAAAGCCTATTCCGTGTCTCATTGGATGAACTCTTGGTCTGGTTTTTCAGCTATGCAAGAGGTTTACGCCATTTAAGCCGGCCCCGAAAGGTGTAAGGGCCGATGTAGTCCAGGCTGCACGGGTTGCCCAAGTATGGTGAAGCGCAGCAGGACGATGAGCGATGTGATCTTCCAGATTGGAGCATACCCCTCTCCTTATGATTGGCATCGCGTTATCTCGATGCCGGTCTTAAGGATTCCCTCTGTTTCTGAGGGCGCATCCTCAAGATTGTCATCGCATTTGGGCTAGTCAATATTAGGGTTAGGGATAAGGTCGAGGCTGACTAGTGATGGCCAGGAGGAGCAGGCAGGCAAGGTGGAGGGCAAGGAAGAGAAGACGACAGGGAGGTGCCTCAAGGGGACGAGTGAGAGTGTGCAGGGTGATGGTGAGTTTGTGCTACTCTAGTTTGGTGTGGGGGACTTCTTAGTGATGGGGAAGGCGGAATCGGCACAGCCAAGGATCCTGGGGCCACCTGGGGTAATTCTGGCGTCACTTGAACCCTTCATGGGGCCGTCACAGGGCCAAATGTTGGACCTCTTGGCGAATTCAGATGGTCTTAGGGGGGCTCGGTGGGCTACTTCGGAGGGGGGTCAGGGCCCCGAGAGTGCGTGGAAAAGCTCGGAACCCCATCACATCCTCTTCCTCCTCCTCCTCCTCCTTCTCCTCCTCCTCCTCCTCCTCCTCCTCCTCCTCCTCCTCCTCCTCCAGCTGGGTCGAACGTGAGGCATTCAGCACTTCGTGAAGATGTTATGAGGTCGTGGCGGCTTCGATTACCATCCTGGACCCATCTATATATACACTCTCGATTGGGCAATGGTGTGATGCTTTTGGGATCTCATCGGACGGCATTTGGAAATGATTGGACCACACCAGGGCTGGTTCAGGGACCTCCAAGTCTTTGGGAAGCCCGAGAACTGGAGAACCGTAGGATGGTCTACGATGTGGATTGCCCCTGCTGTGCCTTGGGGGCCTGTCTCGGGATCTGGTGGGGTATATCGGGCCAACCCCGTGGCCTCATAGACATCGTGAATGTCTTCTCGACCCGTCATGACGACATCGTGGGCCATATTGGGTTTGTTGCATTTAGAATGTGTTGAAGGTGTTCGTGGGCCCATTCGACCACGTCGTGACTTAGATTGAGTTCCCCTGGAAGCTCCCCAGAGCCTTGATGAGTTGTCTTGGATTTTTCGTGGGCTATATTGGACGTGTTCTTTGTGTGTTCTTGGGCCGTACTGGTGCTCTCGCGTGCACTTCGGAGGCGACCTTTGGCCGACGTGCCAGGCGGCCGTAGCTTTGTAGCAATGTTGTTATGCCTGGGCCTTCTCATGGGGCCTGTTTCGGGGCATCTTGGAATGTTTGGGGTCGTACATGTGGCATCTCAAGGTTTTCTTCCAGAGACTCTCTTGTGCCTTCGAATTTGTATCGAATGCAATTGTGAGGCGTCATGATGTCGTCGGAGGTTGCATTTGTAGTCTCTGAGGACCCAGAGGGTGCATCGAGGAGCTCAGCCCCGCACCCGCCCGTTGAGGTCCCAATATGCATTCCAGAAGCTATTTGTGGGCGAAGCACCAGGAAAGCAAAAACAAGGAAGCCATGTTTAGCTATACTGATTGTTTGGATGCTTAGTCGGGGCCTCTTGGAGCCTATGTTGAAATAGCTTGGCGTAAATTGGATCATCCCAGTGGCCTCTATGATGTGCTGAAGATATAATTGACCAAACTTGGCAGCCTTGAGACGCGTTGCGATATTATTGGGGTCTGCTTGGGCCGTACAAGGAGGTTTTAGGATCACTACAGGGTTGTCTTGCGGACCTCGTGCGAGCTCTGGAGGCCATCTTTGACACTTTGGATGCCACATTATGTCAAAGCCTTTGGGAAGCCGTGAAGACTAGAATACAATAGTTTGTTCGGCGATTCCGGTTGTCTGGACTATCTCTCTTGGGGCTATTTGATGGCATTATCTTGATATATCTTAGGTCACTCTTGTTGCCTGTATGATTTCTTCAAGGTCACCTTGGCCCGTCAGGACGGCGTCGTATGTTGCAAGAGCGCCGTCCAGATGTTCTCCGGAACATGTTTTGTGCCTTCGTGTGTTCCCCTTGCACCATCTCGTGTACCGGAAACCCGGCCCCAGGAGCCCCATAGCAAACGACCACCAGGGGCTACCAAAGCGTTGGCCGCATCCTTGATTGGGAATGGTGCTCTCGCCAGTGCGCTGGCCACCTGCCTGACAGGGAACGGTGCTCTCGCTCGAGCGTTGGCCACATCTTCATGCTAGGGTACTTGTGGTCTCCATCTTGGAGGGGTTGTCTGGGTTGTCCGGAGGGTTGCCTGGGATGTTTGTGTTGATACGTTCTGTCATACGACATAATACATGAAGTGGCGCCTCCCTCCCCGGGCCCTCCGCCAGAGGTTCCCCCTGGCTCCAAGATCACGGCGGGGGGCCGCTCGACAGCCACCCGGGCGGCACAAGAGGACCGCGAGCTTGCCCCAAAAACGGCCTCGAAGGGTCTCCGACGGAGCCCAGAGGGGTCTCCAGCGGCTCTGGCCAGAGGCCCCCAACGCGCCCCAAGAGAGATCTAAAATGACTCCCATGAGGCCCATGAGGACCCCGAGACGCATCAAAAAAATGTGTTCCTTGGAATATTATGTGGTTTCACTGTTCTCGCTTTCTCTGGTTCCCAACACGCCAGGATGGCCTGAGAGGCAAGAACGCCCCAAGACGGCCCCAGAGGCTACCAAATCTGCCCACAGACGGCCCAGTGGAGCCCCAAGACGGACTAGGAGGCCCCGAGGATGGCCCCAGAGATTTTCAAGAATGCCCAAGCCCGCGTCCGAGTGCGGTTTGCCAGCCCCCTGGGCAGCCCAAGAGGGCCTCAAGCCAAGGACGGTTTCCAGCGGTCCCAGACGGCCCAAGAGGCGCCAACAGTGAACCTCGAGGCTCCGGGTCTCTTGGAGGCCTCGAGGAATTTCTCGAAGGGTTCTTCTGCCGAAAGGTCGGAAAAGCACCAAAAAAGTACAAAACCAAAGCGAATCCTACGATTTAGGGCTCTCGAGAGCCCTCCTCGGAACCATCTCGGAGCCTCTGGTGACCTCTTGGGGCCATCTTGGCGTCGTTTGAAGCCCTCTTGGGGCCATCCGAGAGCCGAATTTGGCCCTCCGAGGCCCTGTGCGGGGGGCAACCCTGGACTAGCTGAGCCCACTTCGAGAGCCTCTGGGAGCTCCTGGTGGCTTATTTCAGAAAGGACTGGGCTCGGCGGGCGCGCTGAGGCGCTCGTACTCTAGGTCCGCGTCGTGTCAACGCACGGCGTGCGGCGACCCCAGCGCGGGCGTTCAAGGACGCCGCGAGTGGCCCAGCATCGGCCGACATCGAATGATCCGAGCTATCGGTATGCCGCGATCGCTCAGGGTTGAACAATCCACTCGGTGTCCGAAACCAATTCCGGCGTTGTCGCGACACGAACTTGCCGCACCCCCATCCCCCAACCCGCCCGGACACCCCCCTTGGAGCAGGAGATCGGGCTCCCAGGTGGCGGCGCAGCCAGACGTCTCACGCTCCGCGTCACCTCCGACACGCGGGGGACGGCGGGTTCCTCAGCGCATCTCATGTCATGAGATGTTTCGAGCTTTGTCGGGTGAGGTACACCCTCAGGATGTTCCTGGCCGAATAGAACAAAAGTCCACTACGGGTGTCCAGGGTCGCGAATACATGCGGGGCCTGCTTGATATTTACTTGAGCAGTTGCTAGCCGTTGCGATCAGCGGGACACTTGTTATCGGGTGAGAACTTGGTGAGTACGCGGCACGAGTTATTATCTCGGGGCGATACACCCCAGCACCAGCGGACTCTGCAGTTGAGCCTCTGATGAAAAAAAACTTCAATGCAATCAAGCGTACCTTTCGGAATCGTTGAGGAAGCCAGCCTAGTTGTTTTGCATCCCCCTTGTGCTTGCGAGGGGGGGGCGGGGTCGCACGCGCGGGGCTGAGTCAGCTCGGCGTCTGCAAGTCATGTCGGACAATTGGCCCAGTCTTCTGACGTCAGTCCATTCCTGATCTCGGTCTCGGTTGTATCACCTCACCGCGTTGCGAGCAAAGTCAGTAGATGAGTCATGAAAAGTTGTACTTGCCAGCTCCTGCCACTGGCCTCCCCCCTGTCCCGTGTTGCACACGAGCAGCGTCGACGAGGTAGTCCGCAACCAGGGTTGCCGTACGAACACACACACCCACACACACACACACACACATACTTGTTTCTCAGACGCGACAGTGAGTTGCAGCCACCGTTGACAAGTCGAGCAGGGGCACTGCCGCACGATCAACCCATTTTTTTTGTGGACACCTGCAGAGCACAACAAGTTCCAGCGAGATCCACGGCACGTACTCTGGATGTCTTAATACGCGTAGGGGGGTACCCCCCGACGGAGGTCAACCTCGCCTCGTCGTCGTGCCGCGACGGGGGTCGGAGCTCCTTCGGCGCGCGGTGGCTGCCCGCGACGGGGGTCGATGTGGGGCTGTCGGCGGGGGTGACGCCCCCCCCCCCCGACGCTTATCAAGAAACTCGAAGAAGCCAGTCGCTGGGGGGCGGAATGCAGGTGAGGCGCGGCAGTAGCCAAGACCACGCTGGGCGGTACTGCCAGGAACGCTTGCCCGGCGCATCCCACCGCCAGTTCTGGCCCACCACGCTTCGGCGCGACACGCTGAGCACGTCTCGGTCCCTTTCGGCATCCGCGCGCCGAGCTCTCCCCAGCCTCCCGCACCGCGAAGCGGAGCGACCCGCGCGACCCGCTTGCAAGACGTGGCACGCCGCCGTGGCCGCCGCCGCGACGCGCCGAGCCAAGAGCTGCTGACCGCAGAGGGGCGGAGGGCAGCGGGGGCCGGCGGCGAGCCCGAGGGCGCCGCGGGAGGGCCCGGCAGGCCGAGCGGGCAGGCAGCGGGGCAGGCAGCGCAGAGCAACCGCCGAGGGCCGAGGCGGCAGCGCCGGCGAGCACGAGGTGCAGCCGCCGCCGGGAGGGAGGCGGGTCCCGAGGGAGAGGGGGTCCCGAGGTGTCTCGTCGCTTTCGGGCTGCAGGGGCCCTCCCCGGGCCCCGGGGCAGTCAGAAAGCCGCTCGAGATGAAGAGCTGGTCCTGGGGGAAGGCCCTGGGGGTCCAGGACCCATGTCCCGCAGGACCCGCTCCCTTCGTGCTGAAGCAGGAGAGGAGTGGCAAGAAGCTAGAGGAGAGAGAAGCGGGCAAGCGAGAGACAGGCGGCTGGAACCTTGGCGGCACTGCCCGTGGCACAGAGTGCGCCTGCTGCGGCTGGTCCGCAGGAACCAGGCAGCACCGCAAAGGCGTGCGGGAACAGCCGCAGCCGCGCGCAGCCAGGTCGAGGAGCAACACGCATGGAGCATGGGATGCGGGAGATGCCCAGGCCGCCGCGGGGACGGCCCCGAGCAGATGGAGACACGTGCTGCCTTCCGGCATACCAGAGGATACGGTTGGTGGAGTACCCGACCGTGCGGACGCTAGCGACGAGAAGTTGTTTCTTTGTGAAGCGCGCGGCGAGACTGAACTCTTGGAAACGCGCACTGGCGAAACAGGGCAGGCAGAGAAGCCAGGCGGTGCAGGGCAGAGGCAGGGCGCAGAGGGCAGAGGGGGCAGAGGGCAGAGGCGGGCAAGGACAGCACCAGCAGGCTAAGCCAGCTCCTCCTCCTCATCCTCCTCCTCCTCCTTCTCCTCCTCCTCATCCTCCTCATCCTCCTCCTTCCCCTCCTCCTCCTCCTCCTCCTTCTCCTCCTCCTCCTCCTCACCCCTCCTCCTCACCCATCCTGCTCCTCCTCCTCCTCATCCTCCTCCTCCTCCTCCTCCATGGGCGGAGTGCCCGAGTGGCCAGCAGGCCGAACTGGCGACCCCCCCCGCCGACACCGCTTGTGCACCTCGTCATCTCAAGGGATTGCCGGGCAAGCCCGCCGCGCAGACAAGAACTCCTTGGCGCCGAGCCCGTCAATCACACCCCACTCCCCGTTCCGCCTTCTCCCCCTCATCCCCTCCTCCCCCTCCTCCCTTTCCCTCCGACGTTTTTATTTTCTTCAACACATGGGGTTGCAGAGTGCCATTGCTCGTTTTCGGGACCGCGATGTTCATCACCGATGATGTCATGTATAGCACGGGTATTGTTCACTGAATGCTTACCCCCACGTGTGTAGTTTGTGTACCTGTCGTGCGGCAGGCTTCTGATAGTTGGAGGCTGTCTCATGTGATCAACCTCCTATCTTCTCCACCGACAAAAAACATGAAATTGAAGAGCTCTCACGCCTCAGCACTCGTACGAACGGCTCTCGCGCCTCTGAATGCCCTCACGGCTCCCTGGGGGAGGGAAAGTGGCATCGGGAAGCAGAATTTCCGAAACATCTGGCCGCCTCGATTTTCCAGGGCCTCGCGGGTCTGGGCGTGGGCCCGACATGTCAGCTGCCCGAGTTATGGCAAAGTTTTGGGAACCGCATGTGGCGCTGATGCGCTGTGTTCTGACCGTCGTTGCACACTCGCCGCCTGCAACCCGGCCTTCCCAGAGGCCAGGACGTCTTTCGCGCCTGCCGCCCCTCTCGGGTCGCTTCTGGGCTACGGCAGTCTCGCTCGTGTCGCTAGTTTGTTCAAGGCTCTGGGTCGCAGAAGCGGCCGCGGCGGCAGCGCGGAGGAGTTGAACGAGTCCCTCTACTCGATGCTGGAGCTGCGCCAGGACCTCTCGCGGGCCTGGCCGCCACTGCTCCCGCCTGCCCCACTCTTCCTCTCCTCAGCTTGTGTCCCATCTTTCCCTTCATCATCCTCATCCTTGCTCCTCCTCCTCCTCGTCTTCCTCATCTTACTCATCTCTTTCTTTTTCTCTCTCCATCTCGTGAACACAACGCGACGGGATGTTTTTGTGGGCAGTCGTCGGCATTGGGGGGGCCCCGACTGGGCCCCGGGACCGTCAAATCTACTTGGGATGAAAATCCGGTCCCCGGGAAAGGGTCCAGATCTTTGGGGAGGCAGTCGAAGAAAAAAAGTGGCATAAACATTAATGTGTGGCGTTCCGCACGGATTTCTTGGATCCGCCTGGGGCCCCCTGGCGGCACCTCCAGCGCTGCCCTTGGCGCGCCCCAGGCGCCAGGGAGGGGTTCGGGCCCAGATCTTGGAAATTCGGGTGGGCCTCCAAAAGATTATGTTTATGCCGTTGTTTCTTCCTCGAGGCACGTGGCAACCAAATTCACGACGTCGGATCTTTGTCTCTCTCTCTCTCTCTCTCTCCCTCCCTCTATCTATCTATATATATCTATATATATCTATCTATCTATCTATCTATCTATCTATCTATATATCTATCTATATATCTATATATCTATATATCTATCTATCTATCTATCTATCTATCTATTTATCTATCTATCTATGCAAACAAATAAAGATGTATAGCTTCACCTGCTTTGCCCTAGAGAACGGGTGAAGCAGCTGGTGTACCATGCCACCTCTCTGCATCAGAGGGGTTTGCTTGAAGTACCCGCCAGATTGTGCCTCTCAGGAGGGCGGGCACAGCTTTTGTGTGCGTTGTTGCTTTGCTGTCGCCCACCAACCCCCTTCGTAGCCCACATGTGTCCGCACGCTCGCTGTGTAACTGTGGCCTCGCCAGGACAGCTCAGGGCTCCCCGTCGGTGGCTGGCCCACTTCTGATCGTCGTCGTCGCTCGACGCACGCTGTGGGTCGCACATGGCCAGCTCCTCCTCCTCCTCCTCCTCCTCCTCCTCCTCCTCCTCCTCCTCCTCGGCGGCGGCGGCGGCGGCGGCGGCATCCTCCTCCTCCTCCTCCTCCTCCACCTCCTCCTCGGCGGCGGTATCCTCCTCTTCCTCATCCTCCTCCTCCTCCTCCTCCTCCTCCTCCTCCTCCTCATCATCATCATCATCCTCCTCCTGCTCTGCACCAGTGTGCGATGATGGGGCCAGGGGCCACCGCCCTCGACCAGTGGCACGAGCCGCACACGAAGTGGACGGACCGCGGCGTTGCCTTAGGCCGTGCTGGTGCACCGGTGCAGGCCGCGATCACGCACTACAACTGCACGGCGCTGCCCACTATGTCCTACATCGCCCAGTTCTTCGAGGTCTGGCAGCCGCATGCCGCCCAGAATCATTGGCTGCTACACCGACTGCTGCGCCTCCCACCGAGCAGTCTCGCGCCGATAACTTTCTTTGGCACGAAGAGGTGATCCAACGGCTGCACCCCGAGCTCGCTGCGATGCGCCCTGCACGCGACGGCGTTCCGAGCGGCCTCGAAGCCTCTCTCGGGGTGGCGGGAGTACAGGGACGGGATCAAGGACGCCGCCGAGCTCTATCTACCCAGGAACGCCGCTTCAAACCACAGGCGGTCCCCCGATTTCTGGCCAACGGGAAGGCGATCGTGCAGTGGCTCGCCGAGGTGGTGGAGCACAGGGTGGGCGACCGCAAGTGGTGTGAGCATCCGCGCCGTGCCTAAGTCGCCGCCCGCGCGGCTGCCCCGGTGCCCTTTTGATGAAGCCGGCACGCAGAGCAAAAAGGGCGCCAGATGTCCAGTGCCACCCGGACGACCGACTCCCCCAAGGCGCGCCGTGGTTACCAGGCCGCGTACCACAATTTCCTTTACAGCAGCCTACGCCACGACGACATGGCGCCCATCATCGGCAGGAGGCTGCCGCACGACTTCCCTGCCAGACGGTGCGGCCCGCCGCCTGACCTGGAGCAGCGCTGGGCCCGCCTGCGGGCAAGGTTGAGCCACCAGAATCCCGCGGCTGCCTGGCAGGCGCTGAAGACGCTCACGGGCGGCTGGACGACGCGCGAGCGGCTGCACCTCTTCGGCCCGCGCCCGTGCATCTTCGGCCGCCAGGCCGCCGACTCTCAGCACCACTGCCTCCACGGCCCCTCGCGCCTGGAGGTTGCGCGCCGCGCGGGCTCCGAGCACTGGAAAAGGGACACGGCGTTCGACCCCATCGGCGCCTCGCGGCTCGAGCCCACCGCCCGAGCGGGCAGGGCCGCCGCAACCCGCGCCCGCAGCCTCGCGCCGCCGGCCCCGCGCTGGCGAGCATGGATGGGGAGCTCGCCTCTGGCAGTGCCTTTGCTCACCCGCCTCCTCCTCCTCCTCCTCCTCCTCCTCCTCCTCCTCCTCCTCCTCCTCCTACTTCCGTACCCATTCTGGCTCAAGTGGGAGTTGTCGCCCCGAGGTTCCAGCTTGATCGGGGCCAAGGGGCTAATTCGAGGGCCCCGCCGTCAGAGTGCTTTCGTCGATCACCGTCAGAGCTTCAAGCCCGACAGGCGCCGCGTCATTTTGTCTGCGGCCACCTCGCATTACGCTGTCATGCCAGGTAGCGACTCCTCGGCGCTGCAACATGTTCTGTTTGGATTCACTGCCATCTGTGGGAGGATGATCTAGGTTGAGGAGTCTGCGCTCGATATAAACCAAGATCATGAAAGATGCTTTCGTCGAACAACGAACGCTTCAATCAAGCAGTGGCGAAACGTCCTGGTTTGCTTATAGGCCGACCAAAGAATGGCTTAAGAATATGTTGTGGCCTGCACGAGATGTTCTTAGAACATTTCTGGCTGAGACTGTCTGGTGTTCACACATCGGGCTTATGCTCTAAGAACATTGCCCTTGGTGCTAGAAAATGTCTAAGAACACTTCGTGGTAGGCCTATAGGATTGCCGGGACGGTCGGCCCCTGCTCAATTCAAGAAGCTCGAGGGGCATCCGACGAGCCCCGCGCAGCATCGCAGGACGCCCTCATGGACCTCATCAACATCGAGACGTTCCGTCTACTTCAAGAGCTTGCTGACGCCACTGCCAAGCAGGTCGTTGAGTTGACTGCGTCGCCCGCCGCTTCGAACTGTGGGCCTTCGGCTGCAAGACGGACGATACTCAGTGGCAAGCGCTTTCGCACTCAAGGTCTTCGCCAGGCCGCTCAGTTCAAGGTGAAACTCACAACGTGGACAAGTCCTTAGATTTCGAGGGGCCCATGTAAGACAGAGGCTTCGTCGACCAGGTGCTCGCCGTGGTGCGTGGCGGAACGACCCCTAGACTCGCGTCGCCGCGCAGGCGAGGGCCAATTTGGACGCCCCCCTTGCGCGCCAGGCGTCGCAACCAGGCGCCAGGCATGCCGTGGACAAAAGTGCACGAGTACATGGGGGGCCAAGGCCCCTGAGTGCCATCCGCGAAGCTGGCGGCCAAGGCTTCAAGGGCCTTCTCTTCCTGATCGAGAATGGCAGGTGCGCGACCCTCCTCGATGTGGAGGAGCCAGAGGTGCCCCAATAGGATGCACGGCCAGAATGCAATGACTTCGTGGCCGGCATCAACAGAGGCGCGGCAGGCGTCATGAAAGTTGCCGCCGCCCCTCGCAATGAGTTCCCCCTTGCCTTCTCGGAGTCCGTCAGGCCCTACTCTTGCGGCACGAGCAGGGACGGTGCAGGATTTCCCCTGCGCCGACTCGCCCCCTTCCGCCCTGGGACCCCACGCGGCCAGAACGCGACGGCGCGATCGCGAGCGTGGCTGCCTCTCCCCCCACGGGCCCGCCGAGCCCATCCTTGCCCCAGCTCGACGCGGGGACTTACTCGAGGGCCGCTGACAGCTTGTGCGTCGCATGTCCAGATGGCAGCGACGATTCCCCCGCTCCCTCGCCGGGTTCCCCCCGCTGCGCGAGCCCCAGCAGCAGCCGCGTTTCCTCGTCGCCGGCCTCGGGCGGACCTCGCGGCTCGGCGGCCGCCCCCGGCCCCCTATCGGCCCCTCCGCGTCGAAGCAGGCATGCCCCACTGCATCTTGCAGTGAACGCTCCGTGCGCGGCGCTGCCTTCGCGCCCCAAACCTCGCACAAGAGAAAATATGGCAGGTTGATCCCACTCTGTTCCAGACATGATATCGCGCGCGTGCACGGGGCTCGCGGGTCGAAGGCCCACCTTGGGATATTTCTGTAGAGAAGTGCGTCCAGCTTTTGGCGCAGGCACGTTCTTTGACGCCACAACGTCAGGCGGTTGCGTCATACTCACCCGCCCTTGCACCCTGGGCTCACGCGCACATCCTGTTCATGACATGCACGGTCGCGGTCACATGCATAGTCTTACCATATACAGCAATAAAGAGCGCACCCTGATCGTCAACGTCCAGCTCGAACCTTTTGCATCGGCCTGTCGTCAAACAACAACAGCGTCGTCGGATTCGTCGTGCGCACATCCCGCCTCGCCGCGCCATCCAGTTTTTGCTCGGCGACGTTATCTTTCATGCGCGCGGCGACGGCATCCACCATCTCGATGGCCAGCCCACACCCCGCGGCCAGTTCACCGCCGAAGCGCCCCGCCATCTTTTCGCACACCTAACCGAGGCAGACCGCGATTCGTTCACGCGCAGAGTCAAGGGCTGGAGAGAAACGGCGAAGCATGCAGCATGGCTCTCCAGGTCTTACCGCATCTACTTGAGCACACCCCCTGGTGTTTTATCACACGCAGGTCCTGCCTTTCGGACTCTTGGGAAGCTCTCTCCAGTCGACGAACAGAGGCCCCGCTGGGATTCAGTCCCGAGCCTGCAAGCACCCCGCGTTCGAGGAGAAAGACGACGCCGCCATTTCGGATGCCGGCACGCTCTCTGAGGACCCAACGAGGCCATCGTGGACGTCAAGGATTGCATCTTGGAGGCCGGTTTTCAGTAGGAAGCCCACCTGGAGGAGATCGGCGTTCGCTCGGATGCTGGGAAGCTTTCTCGGGCGCTGGCGGCCTCGAGGCCTGTCCGTTCTGGCGACGCGGCCATGCTCCATAGGGCTGCCAGACCCTCCCCGGGCGCGGGCTTCAACTTCGACTCCTACATCATCAACGACCCCGCGCGTATCTCGGAGGCCTTCATAACGACGCCCCAGGGAGGCCCCCGGACTGAGGAGGTCCACGACAACGAGCGCATGTCCGAGCACACAAAGGAGGGCAAGCTCAACCGCCGTTATCTTTTGAAGAGCGCATGGCAGCCACGGCATCGCAAGCACGGCTTGGGAGCGGTCACGGACCCGACTGGCTCCTCTATTTACGACGCAGACGAGTTGTGAAGCGAGCTCGCTAGGCATTGGGGCCGGGGAGGAGCTCATTCGGACGCTGCTACTTCTCAGGATGCCCCCAGATGTTTCGAAACCTTCATCCTGACGGTCCCTCCCGAGATCCCCTGGCAATTGGATGCCCCGCTGCTCCAAAGCTTGCTCCGACGCATACCAGACAACGCGCCAGGCCCTCACGGCGTGCCTGTTTCTGACTGGCCGTGAGCTGGCTCCACGGCTGCCAACGGTGCACTCGCTCTGCCTCGACATCCTCCAGGTTAGCTCCACCCCTCCTAATTTCTATGACCCTATGGCGGTTTCCGAGCCAAGGACGAGGAGCCCGACGACGGGCGCCTGAGAAGACACGTCCGGCCGATTTATCGAATACGGACAACAAGGTGGTGTCGGTTGCCCTGAACTCCTTGGCCGCCCTGGTTTGTCAAAGCATCGCTTTCGGCCAGCAACGCGGTTTCGTTCGAGGTAGACAGATGCTAGGCAACATTCTGGACCTGGAATCGCAGTGTCTCTAAGAGCTAGTCTAGCAGGATATGCAGAGAAATGGGTTATGTTTCTTCGCCGGTAGGAGCGCTCTCCCCAGTTTGATCCACCAGCCGTTGATGTTCACTCTTGGCACAACGGGTTTCCCCGAACGCTTCCTGAACTCGAATCGAGGAGTATATACCCGTATAGTTCTCCGATGGAATGATCGGCACGGGCTCGAATTGCGCATGGGGATCAAGAAGGGGTGCCTGATTTCGGGTTCGCTTGTCGCCCTGGCCTACGACCCGAACAGTAGAATGCTCCCCAATACGATGATTACCCCGCCCCATGCACCAGGCCGGCGCAATTTGCCGACCATTGCGGCATAGTTTGCAGTAGCGAACCGAAGCCTACGCCATCGCTGTGGACATTTGAGCCCTTGCTAAGTCCGCGCTCGGACTCCACATCCACGCAAACTGCGGCGATCCTCGTTGGCTTTCTGAAGAAGCGCTGCGTACCTCTCACTCATACCCGTCACACCCGCAATTACTCCTCCTCCTCCCCCTCCTGTTGCTTCCCAGACATCCGATGTCTTGATGTTTGATTCTGGGCCCTCGGGACGTCCCGACCTTTTCCCCACGGCCGGGTCGGGTTGTCTTCCAAAGTCGCTCTCGGACGGTCTTGGGGCCATTGAGGGCCCCCAGGGGCCAAAGCGTCCCAAAAATGTCCGTCGTGAGCGTTTTACGATGCAAGCATGTATGGGTCCTCCTCATCCTCCACTCGTTCCTCTCCTCTTTCTCCTCCTCCTCCTCCTCCTCCTCCTCCTCCTCCTCCTCCTCCTCCTCTCTCCTCCTCTCTCCCCTCCTCCTCCTCCTCCTCCTCCTCCTCCCTCCCTCCTCCTCCTCCTCCTCCTCCTCCTCCTCCTCCTCCTCCTCCTCCTCCTCCTCCTCTTCCTCTCTCCTCCTCCCCCTTCCTCCTCCTCCTCCTCCTCCTCCTCCTCCTCCTCCTCCTCCTCCTCCTCCTCCTCCTCCTCCTCATCGTCATCGTCTTCATCAGCAGCATCATCACCACCATCATCATCATCAGCATCATCACCATCATCATCATCATCAGCATCATCACATCATCATCATCATCATCATCATCATCATCATCATCATCATCATCATCATCCACCCCTCCTCCTCCCCGTCCTCCTCCTCCTCCTCCTCCTCCACCTCCTCCTCCGCCTCCTCCTCCTCCTCCTCCTCCCCCTCCTCCTCCTTCTCCTCCTCCTCCTCCGCCTTCTCCTCCGCCTCTTCCTCCTCCTCCTCCTCGTTCTCCACCTCCTCCCGTTCCTCCTCCTACCCATCCTCTTCCTCAGATAGAATACAGCCCCCCGTTAATGTTGGCCTCACGTGTTATATTTTTATATATATATATATATACATACATACATATAACCAAACATGGTGCAGGACGAGGAGGAGGAGCAGGAGAAGGAGGTGGGCCCCTTCTTGGGTCGCGGGCTGGTGGCAGATTTCGGAGAGCAGCCTGTTTGGGGCCAGTTTGTCATCGCCTGCCATTGTTGCCATCACTGCTCCTCTTCGCCTTACATGTTTTTGTCTTTTCCCTTTGGGAACTTTGGCAGACAGCGCACATTCGACTTCAAATGTCTTCAGGCTGTGTGTGCGTGTCTGAAGGAGGATGAGGCGGGGGACGAAAAGCAGGCGGAGTAGGAAGAGGAGGAGGGGAAAGGAAAGTAAGCGGCATTGGCTCTTGCATCCTCGAGGAATTCGGTTCCCTCGGGAACCCTGCTCTCCTCGATGGAGCCTGAAGTCCCTCGTGATCCCCTCGACTCCGAAGGAGGTGGAGGACAAGGAGGAGGAGCCAGAGGGTGTCATTGAGAGGGGGGGGGCAGGGCCCCGCCCGCCTGGGCGGAGTCGCTGGCAAAGCCACGGAGCTCGACGATGATAAAAAGGTAGCGTCCGCCAGCTTGCCGGCGAAGGCCCAAGCAGACCTAGGCTTGAAAGCGTGCGAGGGAGAGGAGCCAGGAGGGCAACGGTGAAGGCGAGGATGGGGGGAATGAGCGGAGGAGCAGCAGCGGCGGGAGGACGAGGTACTGATGCGAAGGAGGCGAGGAGAACGAGGGACGCCGAGGGAGGAGGAGATGAATAAGAAGGGGAACGAGGAGGAGGAGGAGGAGGAGGAAGAGGAGGGGGAATAGGAGGAGGAGGAGGAGGAGGAGGAGGAGGAGGAGGTGGAGCCGGCTGGGGGTCTGATGTGGTCCGGCCCGGCATTGGTTCCGGCTAGCAGACTGTGCGGAGAAAGTGGTCCCCTCGTCACAGTGGCTGAACGCGTTTCAAAAAAACGCTTGAATTTCGACTGCGGGAGGGATCCGAGGACCCATTCGGAGCGGATTTGTTTTTGTCCCCCCCTCTTGAGAGATTTTGTCTGGGAACACACAGCGTTGACCCCCGGGCCGCTGCCAAATTCAAAGTACGTATGAGAAGGAGGAAAAATAAGAATAAGAGGAGGAGGAGGAGGAGGAGGAGGGGGAGGAGGAAGAGGAGCACTGATGAGGAGGAAGGGCTGGAGTGGGATCAGGGGTTTCCTTCTCCGAGGAGCAGTAGCAGCAAAAGAAGCTCGGCAGCAGAAGCAAGGGGCGCGAGGAGCATCTGGACAGGATGAGCGAGGAGCAGGGCAGGCTCGTCATGGTGGTCCAGGCGCCGCTCGCCTTCGGCCTCCCTCGTCTTGCTCCTTCTCCTTCTTCTCCTCCTCCTCCTCCTCCTCCTCCTCCTCCTCCGCATCCTCCTCCTCCTCCTATTCCCATTCCTCTTCCTCCTCCCCCTCCCCTCCTCCTACTCCTCCTACTGCTATTACTCCTCCTACTCCTACTCCTCCTCCTCCTCCTCCTCCTCCTCCTCCTCCTCCTCCTCCTCCTCCTCCTCCTCCTCCTCCTCCTCCTCCTCCTCCTCCTCCTCCTCCTCCTCCTCCTCCTCCTCCTCCTTCACCTCCTTGTCCTCCTCCTCCTACCGGTATCTCGCCCTCGCCTCCACCTGCTCCTCCTCCCACTCCCCCCCCTCTTGCTACTGTTCTCTCCGCTCGAGTGCGCGGCCCTGCCCAGCTTCAATGTACCCGCAAAGTGTTGGCCTGATTCCGCGACTGGCTCCATCACAGGGTTGGTCACGCATACTCCTCTGAGGCGGGTTCTCCCCCAGAGATGGGCCGCGTGTTTGGCGCGGAAGTTGGGCCCCGCCGGCGCCTGGCCCGCTGACACAGCAGCCGCCGCGGGCTCGCCGGCGGGGCAGGCCGCTCCGCTCGCTCGGGGAGCGATTTGTCCCCCCCAAGCCGCTCGCTCCGTCCGCCCCTCTTTCGGCCGCACCCTCGCCCCGCTCCTCCTCTTTGCATGGTGTCACAATTCGCTCTAGCGGCATCCCCGTTTAGGCATTGCATCGCCAGCGCAGACGTCCCCTGCCTAGCCGCCGACGCAAAAAGTTTGGCGCGGAAGCCCCGTCGTGTGTGGGGCCGTGTTTTAGTCGCGTCGTTCCCCCATTCGGCCCTTCGGCCCTGTTTCTGTGAGCTCGGGCACTGACAGCTGGCGAGTGCTGGCACCAACGGTTTATATACCACTGTACTGGTTTCCTCGTCTTTCGACGTTCCCTTCTCCTCCTCCTCCTCTCCTCCTCTCCTCCTCCTCTCCCCCTCTTTCCCTGTCCCGTGTTTTTGAAGGTTCGGGTGTCTTTGCCCCGCGGTCGCCTCCGGTCGGCGGTGTTTCGGCCACGTTCGCAGGACAGCCTATTGAGCAGGGTTGCTGCACGGTTTCGGCGGTAGTTCTGCATTCGCCTGGTGCGTCGTCATCCTTGTCCGTGGTGCAGGATAGCCCCCTAGAGGGGCAGTAGCTGTTCGCTCCTTTTTTTAGGCTATATATATACAAAAAAAAAAAAAAACAAAACAAAAAAAAACGCAGCACGCACAATGTTCAAAACGTCCGCGTGAGCACGCCGCGTGTCGGCTCAGCGTGTTGGCCCACGTCTTGGCGAGCGTGCCGCGCCAGACCTGCGTCTCCAGCCTGCGTGCTGGGCCCCGTGCTGCAGCACGCTCCGGGTCACGCGTGCCGCGCATCGGGGCAGCGTCTTCCTCCCTGCGTCCCTGCGCCCCCCCTGCCTCGTTCCGCCTTCTCTCAGAAGCACCATAAGGGGTACCAAAAGCGTAGGGGTACCAAAAGCGGGTGGGGTTAGCTTCATTTTAGATACATTTTTAGGGGAGAATCTCCCCTACAAATGTCAAAAAGAAGGGAGTTGAGTTGAGGGTCGAGGGCACATAAAAATGGGCGGCTTCCTTGCCACCTGGGGCCGCCTCTGCCGCGGGCGGTGCCCCCGTGGAGAGCGCGCGGCAGGCGCGTGCCTCCTCCTCCTCCTCCTCCTCCTCCTCCTCCTCCTCCTCCTCCTCCTCCTCCTCCTCCTCCTCCTCCTCCTCCTCCTCTCTCCAGCTCCTCCTCCTCCTCCTCCTCTCTCCAGCTCCTCCTCCTCCTCCTCCTCCTCCTCCTCCTCCTCCTCCTCTTCCAAGGCCTTCTCAGAAGGCGGCTGGGCTTTTCAGAAGCCCCCCGGCCTTCTGAGCGGTTCTCTGTGTCTCCTGGGAGGGCTCAGAGAACTTCTCAGAAGGCCGAGGGGCTCCCGAGCCTTCTGAGAAGGCCCGTCCGTTCTCGCTTCCACCCCCATCGCTCGCCGCCGAAGTGCCCTGTCGGGATCTTTTGCGCAGCGTGTCGCCGCGGAGGCACTGGCGACGCGTTGAATGCCCTGCAAGCGGATACTGTGTCGGTCCGCTCCGCGGGGCGGGTCGGAAAAGCTTCGGGCGTTGAAGCTTGGAGTGGATGACGCGTCGCGCTGAAGCGTTGTGGGCCAGAACTGGCTGAGGGACGCGTTACCCAAAAGTTCCCGACCGTAGTGGGTGGCGGGAAACAGGTACCCCAAAACGCAGAGCCGCGCTCAGCTGAGACGAACCTCTGCTCCTCCTCCTCCTCCTCCTCCTCCTCCTCCTCCTCCTCCTCCTCCTCCTCCTCCTCCTCCTCCTTCCTCCTCCTCATCCTCCTCATCCTCCTCCTCCCTGTCCTCCTCCCTGTCCTCCTCCCTGCTCCTCATCTTTCTCTTCCTCCTCCTTCTCCTCCGCCTCCTCCTCACCACCACCATCATCATCATCATCATCATCATCATCCTACCCCTCTCCATCCTCATCCGCCTCCATCATCAGATGAGCAACACAATCGGCATCATCACCATCATCAACTACATCAGCATCGCCATCACTACCAGAATCACCATCATCATCCTCATCACTATCCGTATCAATTTGGGATCAAGTTCGAAACACGAATCCTTGGTGCTTCGAGCTTGCCCGCAACCAAAGGGAGTGCTCGAAACCTGGGCACTGCTGCCCTTGCCTTGCTTCCGTCTCCTGTTCCGACCCGTTCGGACCTCGATCTGCTCGGGGGCGCGATGGCTAGCAAAGAAACGGGTGCATTGATATTTGAGTCGACGGTTCAGGCTGCCAAGACGATTGACTCCCTCACCTCGGTCACGACTCTGTGCTTGTCTCTCGCGTCAAGATCTTGCAAATTGGGTTGGACGAACACCAGACGAAGATGGCTAAGATTGAGGAAGAGGTTGCCCCACCCCGTTCGCATGCAAACAGCAGCGACTTCGGTGACAGCCGCGAAGGTGAAGGCGAGGGCAGTTCGACTAAGAAACCCAGGGCCATGCCTCGTCCCCGGCTCGGCTCCCCTGATTTGCTGCGACGGCCTATTACCATTGTTTTTTTAATTACGAGTGCATTCGTGGGGTTCTGCACGAAGCAGGTATCGAAGTTCCCCCCTCGTGTGCCACCGAACATGCGAGGCCGGCAACGAAGGTTACCCTGCCAGCACTTTTCGAGGAAAGTGATTCTAGCGCCCCCATCCTCGGCAGCAGCTTCCAACGCCATCGATACGTTCAGAGAGAACTCCCCCGACTGTTTTGCGCATTCCACCCCCCAGGGCCCCCGTGCGTTACATCCTAAATATTTTCGCGAATGTACGATTTGTGGCGAGCTCGACGCGACTGCCAGGACCAAGCCGCCATTAGCGGAGTGGCCCACCGATCCGTCAGTCGGTAATTGGTTCATTTTTGCAACGGCTGCTGAGACAGGTGATGCAGCGAAACCCTTCCGCGTTGCCAAACCTAGCTCTGTTCAGGAAATGTCCCGCGTCACTTCGAGGATCTCGGAACAGGACGCGGACAACAGGTGATTGTGGACAAAGTCATATGCCAGTTGAGCCCGTGACGGTCTGGCTTCTGACTGCGTGCATGTCGCCTGCGACAGGCGCTGCTCTATCTTGAGTGCGCGGGGCATCGCCGTTCTCCCTTTCTGCCCGATAAAAACCACGATCTGCCCTCACTTGGAGTGCAGGTGGTCTCTTTGGCAAGTGGCAAATGTGGAAAGCCTGCGAAGTCATGCACATGCGCGTCTGCATCGTTCTGCACTCGGACCAGGCGCCCCCAGTTTGTTCGCATGCCGGTGTCGCGCGGGCATCTTGGTGACCTGGCTGTTATCGATCGAGTTCCTTTTTATAGTGTGTGTGTGTTCCTGCTTCCGTTCCCTGCGATTCTTACTGGGCATGGGGTCTTGGTGTGCGATGTGGGGATGTTGACCGGGCAGTCACTGGCTTCGCCTTGCTCTGGTAGATCTGGGCTCCCGTCGCTCGCGTGCCGGATGTCGATGTTGGGATTGAAGATTATCGTCTGCGCCTCTCTGTCATCCTCCCCACGCCCCCTCCCCGCCTCTTCTGCCAAATCTGCGTTCAGTGGCCCAGGGGCGGCTGACCCCCGAATTGGGGCCGTCTAGATGGGGCGACGCAGCCGTTCGAGCGCGTGGAATGCAGCCTGCGGCGCGCGGTCGGAATGCCCGCAGCTGCGGGATTGACGCGATCGACGGGTCGCGCCGATCCAAATGCGCTGGCAGAAGCCAAGTTAGCATCGCCTGACGCACGATCTGCTTCGGAAGCCGATGTTTGGTCGGTCGGTTGCCTCCCACCCGCTCGTTCTTCCACTGGTGCGTCAATGCTCTGCGCGGTTTGCGCGCGAGTGTGCTGCGTCGCGCGGCTCTCGCTTCACGCGCCAACCCCGCGCTCCACGACCCCCCCGGGCCCGCGCGCGCATTGCTATCTCGGGCTACCGAAGCCCGGCCGCCGAGGAAGGCGCCCTCGAACGGGCGCGGGCCTTCCTTCCCCGAGCAAGAGGTGTTGCGCAAGCCTGCACACGGACAAAACACCTGCGACTGGCTCACAGCACGGCACACCGTGCGGGTCACGAGCAGGTCTCAGACCATGTCGCACGATGGCCAGTCCTCCGACAGTCGCGAAAAGAGCTAAGCCTCCGATGGCAGACCGCTCGCATTGTTTTCTGAACGCGGTGGGTCTTCTGGCGTTGAGCGACGTTTCGTCATTGATGCACAACCGCGCGGCCACGTGCATCCTTCATTCCAAGCTACGGTCGGAGAACACAAGAGCGGCCTGAGGATAGGCCCCACCAGGCGAGATGGCTTCAGATCGACCGTGAAACGCATTTTGGACAGAGGCCGCCGATGGCATCAGAATCCACAACCAGCGCGCAGGACACATTGACACAGTGGCCGAGCAAATAGATCCAAAGTCGATCCTCTAATTGTCTCGTAATTGTCTCAGCCGAGTACTTGGTTCTTCCCCTTCCCGATTTTGCCCCCGCCCCTGCTTCCTGGCGCCGTGGGCTCCCCCGCTCTGTTTTGCCCTGCAGCTCCTTCCAGCTCCTCGGTTGTCGGGTAAAGAGGCCTTGCGATCGCTTACCTGTCGCCTGCGCTGCGTCTCAGTCGCCCATGCTGCTTGCGCCGCTGCCCTTCTGTTCCCCGCTTCAGCCCCCGCTTCCTTGGACGCGGGCGGCCTCTCTGTAGGGTGGCGCAGCAGCGCGCGTTCTCTGCCGCCAGCTACTTTGCTTCCCCTGGCGCGGACATGGACGCGCCGGAAGTCCGCCCCGCCGGGTGCCGTCGCCACTCCTTGGCCTCTGCGCTGCTCATGCTCGTCTCCGCGTCCTCCGGCGCTTCGAGCTTGCTCTTGTCTGAGAGGGCCGTTCGAAACTTGGGCACAGCCGACCTTGCCGCGCTTGCCCTCGCGCGGGCGAGGTCCTGACCAGTCCGACCCCGACCTGCTCGCGAGCGCCGCGGCCCGTCTTTCCGCGGCCCGCGCCGCCCGCCTTCCTTCGCGGACAAGTTCGCAGGCTGGATCCGGACGCCGCCTTGCCCTCCCTGGGCGATCGCCGAGTCTGTCCGGGGCGCCGCGGGTCGAGCTCCGACCCCATCGCCTCTGCGCGCTCAGAGGGCGCAACCTCCATGGCGCACAACTGGTGCGACAAGGTTGTAGCTGCACGCATCGGCGCGTCTCTCGATCGTCTGCCCCCCCGCCCGCGCGAGAGGTCCTCGCAACTTCGCGCGCACCGCCGCCCGCGCTTGCCGCCGCCGCCCCCGCGGCGGCTCCCCGGCTCTTTCGGGTGGCAAGCCCAGCGCGTCGCCCGAGTGCGTCAGTTCGCCCCCTCCTCCTTCCTGCTCGGCGTGCTTCTGCCTGGCGCATCCATGGCGCCCGTACTATGGGACGGCATGGCACTGAATGCGCCATGCGCCTGCACGGTGTTGACTCAGCCGATGCGCACATGTGCCGCATGTTGTTTGGTTTCACTGTTTGTCGCCTCGTTCGTCGCCATCGGCCGCTGGGGAAATCCCATCATCACCAGCATCATCATCACCATCATCATCATTACCATACTCATTGTCATCGCCACCGCAACCACCATCAGCATCATCAGTATCCGCCTTCCCCTACGGCTATTTCTGTACCACGTCGTGGACACCAGCGAATTCCAGCGAACCCCTATTGTTTGCACTGGTGATCGCTGGAATCATGGGTACCCCCCCACCGGAGGCCGATAAATGGCCCCGCGGGGCGCTCTTGGGGCCGTCCTGGGCCCCCCATTGGAGCCCAATTTGGCCTTTTGGGGTCCACCTTGAGGCTTCAAATGCCCATCGGAGGCGACAAAGTGAGAAAACAGACAAACGCTGACCTGCTTAAGTTGTTGGAAGGGCTTTGGCCGCTCGGGGGTGGGTAATTGGGAGGCTCCGTGGCCACTTCGGGCAGTAGTGGGACAGTCACGGCGCCCCTAGGAAGCACGTTGGAAACTACATTGGCCATCTGGCGCCATCGTGTGCGATCTTGAATGCCATCTCGGCTTATGTGGGGCCCTTTTTTCTGGCCATTTTGGACGTTCTAACCCGTAGCGGAACGCCCCGCCAGACACAAAGGAAGGGCATATAGGGGAGAGGCGAAATTCCCCCTCAAGGGCAAGCAGGGGGCTGGACGAACCTACTCGCTAAATCACCTAAGCCCGAAGGCGTGGTGGGATTCGTGGCCGAGGCTCGCCGTGGCCACGAAGCCCCTTGCGTTATCTAACCTGCGTTCCCAAAGGTAGCACGGTGATCGTGGGCGGGCCAGTCATTTGAGCCAAGTCTGACAAGGACGCATCAAACGCGTCGAGCTCTGGATCCTCTTCTTCCTCCACCTCCGCATCCGCCTCCTCCTCCTCATCCTCCTCCGCCTGTTCATCCCCCTTCGCCTTCTCATCCCGATTGGTCCAGCTCCTTCCACCACTGGTCTACGCAATTGTCAATGCAGTTTGCTGTGACGCCGAAGGTGAGAGATCTGTCCGGCATGGCCATAATGTCGTTGTTGAGCAACGCTCGCTTGATAGGCTGGGACGTCCGCGCGGGCGGCGAAATCTCGAGGGTGCTAGCAGCGCTGCGAAGAGGCATAATGATATGCAGCAGCGGGAGGAGCTGGAGGAGGAGGGGGAGATGATGAAGGAGGGAAGGAAATGAGAACAGGAACAGGTTTGGGAAGATTCGGAAGTTGTCGGGAGTGTTCGAGGCCCTGGGTGGTTTCCATCAGCTGCCCCTCGTCGAGGACGTTGTGGGCGTGCCCGAATCGTCCCGAACGGCCGCCAGAGAGCCGAGCCATGGCCCGCAAGCCAAGGGGCAACCTATCGTCATCGGTGGTCTTGCCACGCAATGACGCGGTCCGCCTGTCCGCTGCCGCGCGATTGCAAAGAGCAGCCTGCCAGTTCGCAAAACAGGCAATCTCAGCCAGCCTATGAAACATATGTGTTATTTCTGGTCGAGGCCGTGGGCAAGGGGAGAGGCATAACAGCTACGACTACGAAATTCGCCACGCGGGATAGAACAATTACGCAGTAGCGCAAACAAGATAGCAATGGAGTGGAATGTTTGTGCGCTCTGTTCGATCTTTCCTATGCAGGGCAGGTGCGGCTGGTAAGTATGTGCGTATGTGTCATCACAGCGGATGCGACGACGGGTGAAGCAAATGCAAGACATGGAGGTGAGGAGGATACGCTTTCTGGTGGAAGGCAATGTACTTGACCTCTTCTAGTTTGAGGCCAGGCAATCCATACAGGCATGCACTTGTACACGAGCGTGTCGCTTCGGTGGTTGTCAGGGCCGTTGACACGCCAGACACACGTCAAGGCGATCACAAAGAAGCACCAGAGGTATCGGGCGAATTTGCCTTGAGAAAAGTTGCCCGACCGAGTTTGGAAAACCGCTTGTTTCCAGCGACTGTGGAGCAGTAAAGTGTTTGTGATTCCTTTGCGTGCACAATCAGGTTCTAGATGTTGCGACACTGGACACACAGGTGGCCAGAATGATCGATTGACTTGTGAAGCAGGCCATTTAGCGCGCGTTTGTAGTTGTCGAGAAGCGAGAGAATGGTATGCTGGCGTGACGCGGACAGACGCTATGATGGCACTTATATCACATCAGAGGATGCTACAGTTGCGACTTGCATGAGAGCTTCCCGAGAGGTGAGACATGTCGTTGGCAAATACGCTTGAGAGCGGCACATGCGGGCCAACGCGTGATGTTTGGCCCTCGCCAGGCACACTTGGGCTCACCAAGTCAATGGCCAAGACAAACAAATCCTCCGTTTATCGTTGAAGCTGTTCGCCGTTCAAAACGCAATGCCTCTGCGATTTAACCACACTCGCCTTGGTATGTAGAATAGTGTTCCTATTGCTCCTCCTCCCCCCCTTCCCCCGTGCCCTCCTCGTCTTCCTCATCATCCTGCTCGTCCTCCCCTCCTCACTCCCTTCTCGTATTCCGCACTCTCATCATCCCCCTTGGGAAATGCGAGGCAGGCTAGCAATACGACGCGGCGTTGTGATCAATTCACTGGCAGGGAGCAGCGCTGTCTCTCTGAGCCCCGGGGAGCAGCAGAGCCGAGCGCTTGGCTGCTGCGCTTGTTTTCAGCACGGTGGCAGAGGCCAGCTGCAGAGCGTGATCAAGAACGGCATGGACGCGTACCCCGAGTGCTCCAAGAACACGGTGCTTCTGAACGCGCCGAGCTCTTTCGAAGCGCTGATGGCAGACCCCCCCCCTCCGGGGTCGCCGAGATCGGGCATGATGAGGGGCGGACGATGGGCACGGTGAGCGTGGCGTGAGTTCGAATGGGATTGGGGCGGGAACGGGGAAATGCAAGCGGGTGCACGCATTCGACTATACGTAAGAGTGACTTCTCGCAGGAGTGACCTTTGGTGCGGGCCCAATGGGGTCCTCCGGCCGCCGAATGCGATGCGATAGTAGCGTCTTGCGCGTTTGGGTCTGTCCCCCCCGCGGTCCCCCCAAAGCCGCGCACCAAAGGTCACTCTTACCTAGGGTCACTCTTGCGTGAAGTCGATGCATTCATTCAGAGTTGTTACGGTCAAAATTTATAGCAAGGGCGCACGGTTGTCTTGTGGGTACCCTTGCGCCCTTGCCTCCGCGGCCGGCCCTTCGCGGTTCTCGCTTGCCAGCCCTTCAAGACGATAGCAGCCCGCCGCCCAAAAAGTGCCACATTCGGCGTCCACGCGCCTTGCGTCCTTACTGCCCGTCCTCACTATAGATGTCGACTGTATCTATCGTCAGTCGCGCGCACCTGTTCGCAAAGTCGCGTTTGCCCCAACATGTCTGCACTCTGTGTCTCCGTGACCTGGTGGCGCGCCGTGGGCACCAGCCGTGGCCCAGACAGACCACTCTGTGTGGGTCCACGGTTGTGCGCCTATAGACGGACTGGCCCTGCAACCTCTTCCTCCCCCTCCCCCTCCTCCTGATCCTTCTCCTCCTCCTCCTCCTCCTCCTCCTCCTCCTCCTGCTCCTCTCTGTCCTCCTCCTCCTCCT